AAAGCATTTAATCAAACAAAGCTTTATTTGAAATTAGATAGTGTTTGAGCTTGTCTTGTTCTTTGAGACTGAAATCGTGCACCATGTTGCTCCTTTGTTTCTTGCTCTCTGTAAGTTATTTGTCGTAATTTTTGTGCTTGAAGTCTGGTTCAGAAGTTTCTTGTTGTTTATATCTAGTTTGCCTTGAAGATTCTGACTAAACTCTGGCTTTGTGCTGTTCAACAGTTTTATGCTGTCTTTGAGTAGCCTGCCTTTCAGCTTGAGCTCGAAATCTAACTTTACATTGTTCCAAAGTCTCTTCCTGTATTAGAGCAGCTTGTGCTTGAAGTCTTTGATTGCGTTCTTCTTCTGTTTCAGCTGCTCTTTATGCTTGCATTTTTTTAGCGGCAGAAGATTTTCCACAGAAAGGGCGTTTCTTGGGTGGCATAATCACCTCTATCACTAAACAATAATTTGCAATTCACAAAGTTACTAAATCACTTAGCACTATTTAAGTAAAAGTGTTTTTGGAAATACTGAATTGACAGCAAGATGATCTGAGTGTTTCCCGCCATAACGCTTTCTATGTGCAGAACGTGCTTATGTTTGTATGTTTATTACAAAAAAATTATTATAAAAATTGACGCAATAATCATTAATTGACAATTTCGTCATTAAATACTACACCAAATACAAAATAAATAACACCATTAAATTTCTTGTACGTATATGTGAAACCAATCTTTGCTGAGGTGAGGAGTCTGAAAAATGTGAGAGAAATTATGTTTTCATGATGTTACAATAAGTAACTAAGTAACAAATTGAAATATTCAAAACAGTATATCAAGGCGAGTTGTGATTTATTAAAAACATGAAGTAGTGAAGTACCATACAACATCACCACAGTAGATATACTGTTATTTATTTAAAACATGAATTAGTAAAATACCATACAACATCACCACAGTAGATATACTGTTATTTATTAAAAACATGAAGTAGTAAAATACCATACGTCATCACCACAGTAGTAAAATAACATACAACATCACATAATCACCACAGTAGAATACCTGGCTTGTGGGTCTTGGAACTTCCATTGACTTGTAGATCTTGTTACTTCTACACCCTCCTCCACCCTAATTAAAACAGACTGCCATAAAACATTTCTGACGTGTTTGTATATAACGTTTTAAATTGTTCCAATGATTCGAGAAAGTAGTAAAGAGATTATTTTACTCACATATTTCTAACTGATCCGGTTTGACTCTGTATTCCTACCACTTATCATTGCAGGAATTTAATAACTTTAGAGAAAACATTTCACACAGAACAAAAATGTCATAAAGTAAGTTTTATGTAACAGAAGAAAAACAGAGTGTAAATTATTCTATGGAAAAAGTGTTCAGTTATCAAGATTTTCTTGGGTAAAATAAAAACCATGACGTATGTTTATTAAAAATGTCAAAATGGGATGATAAAAGTTACTTGTGTGGTATAAATTGACCCCCTCATAACATTTATGGGTGTTTTATTTGACATTATATTCGAAAAAAGGTATACATAGAAACATAATGTGAAACATTACTTTTCACCGATAGCTGTGAACTGTATTTTGTTATCTAGCCTGCAGTCAACATTTTAACAATTTATAGTACAAGTAGTTAATTCTAAGTTTAGAAAATTGTTTAGGAAATTACCACAATATTGGTTGTTCACACGTGCTTTACAAGGGCATTATTGAATTACTCGTAAGCGCCATCTACTAAACACTTAACAATGTAGAGCTGGTTCCACTAGCAGAACAACACTTGTATATTTTTAGTATAAAAAAGTGGTTGAACTACATCAATTCATAGACGCTTCCTCATTCTTTTAGTTTAGGTCAGAAGATGAACTTGTCAAGTTTTAGAACCCTGTGAAGGTACACATAGAAGAACTACACGTTGTGCTATGCCCAAATGAGGCTTTTCACAAGGATACAGTTCATTGTGTTTTATTTTTCTTCTTCTTTTTCTTAGCATGTCTGCATGACATAAGTTAAATGATGCAATAGAATAACAAGAAAGAAAGAATCGAAGTTATATGAACCAGAAAAATTTAATGAGTTTGGTTACTGTACAGGAGTTGAATATATGTTCATTATTCAGCAGTTCATTTGTCAACAACTAAAAGATAATGCGATTAATTTAGTTAATAAAGTTTCCGTGCTCAAGATATCATAAAAAGCAGAACCAATCTAAATTTTCTAAAACCTTTTGTTTAAATGGGCTAGAGCATAATCTAATAGTTAACTTATCAGACTTGGGGATTTGAGGGTTTCTCGCTGGAAATGTGGTACTACGAAACACACTTCTCACGTTTAGCTGTGAGTGCGTTATAGGAGTGATAACACCGGCCTGCGAATGTAAATTTTATAAAAGTTGTTTTGATTTTAATAACGGATTTTTCACAATTCAGCTACGCAGATTTCGAAAACGATATTCATTTTTTGTAAGGACTTTTTACAAATAGGGAAGAAAAGAAAAACTTACTTAGATCAAATTATTATTTCGTTTACCACAATGAACATTTTTTATTATTATGTTTGTTATGTGTAGGTTCTAGAACGATCAATAAGACACTCACGTCGCGATTGGTCTAGAGAAATCTATAGCTAGTGGTTGTCAACATTTTAAGCATAATAAAATTTGACCGATTTTCAATGAAAATGATTCACTTATGCAAAAGTACATATGACGTTTTGTGAAAAATCTGTTTGATTGTGCTATATACAGTATACAGCTCGTACAAATTCTGCGGAAGATTAAGCTGCAGTCAAAGTGTTAAAGACATTTATGCTTGAACCTATAGAATTTTCTTACCTGATTTTCAAGCCTATTGAAATAAAATTCTTGATTAAATTTAAAACTTGTTCCTAAGAGCTGGTTTTAATTTTATCTGTAAAAGAAAATTTAATATCAAAAACTTTTCCGCATAGAAACAGTATGTATACTTCAAGATCCCTGTGAGAAGAGCCGAAACATAGATTTTATGGACACTCGTGTATAACAAGGTGAAATAACAAAAGCTATCAAGATGCCGTTAATTCTGATCTAAATTAATATAAAGTATGGCAGAAAATTCAAGACTTTACACCCAGAAACAGAGGCAGACCGAACAAGGCGAATGTCACCTCGCTTTCGTTACTTCCGCTCTTAGATTATGGGTGATATCTTCGTATTTGCCTGCCTATTGGACTATGATTAACCAATCAGCAGTCTTCAAATATTAGGCATTATAAAACAAGGGGAAATGAGTTTTACTCATATGTCATCGCTTAGTTGATGAAAGTAGTAGAACCAACTTTGCTCGTTCATTGACCTTGGCCGCTCTCTCAAGATGAACGGGGTTCGACTAGTCTTTGTTGTTTTTCTTTATGTTTCAGCCTCTCTTCATATAGTATGTGGACGTGTATTCAAACTAGGATCTTGTCCTAACGTAGAAGTTCAGGAAAATTTTAATCTGAACAAGGTAAAAATATTTTGATTATTAATTTTTTGTTCCTTGGAAAATTCTCTAAGTTATCTTTTGTTTTACACGTAATGCTTGTAAAATCTCATGTCAAAAACTTTTTATGCTTTGATAGGAGTTTTTGTACAGAAAATATATGAATTATTCTAGAAATATTAAATACCTAACTATGGCACAACAAACTAATTTCTTTAGAAGTTTCAATTAATTTAAAAACCAATTTATTTGATTGATTTTAAACAAAGTACGTTTTAAATCGATTGTTCTACAGAAATAAAGGTGCGTCAATATAGTTAATGCAATATCGTACCATTGATTAAGAAACAGGATCCTCCGTGTGTTTGCCATTTTCATATTCGAACTTAAGTTCAACGTGACTGCGAGACTGTCTGAGTCTCAAGGTAGAAGTTAACCTCCACCTTGTTTGATCTAATTTAAACTTTGAAATTTGGAAGAAAACATGTGAGGTCAGTGTTGTGGTGCGACGTGAAGGTCAACTCTAGCCATGTGAGGTCATTGCTCTTGCCTTGTTTGTTGTGACGGGTCATGTTGCTGTTCGATGGGGATCATATAATGTCATTGTTCATGCCAAGTCAATGTGGTATGCGGGCTATCTTCAATTACATAAAGTCATAATTTTTGCCATGATAAGTGTAACTGCTATGTGGTTATACAATTTAGAATTCCAAACTGTTTAAATGACCTTTTTTGTTCTGTAGAACCAGTATATGTGACCTATATCGTTCAGAACCTTGTATAACTAGAATACAAAGTTTACTGCGATCTATCTCAGTATTTTCTGTATTTCTCTCAGGCTTTCAACCAGAGGCATATTTTCGGTGACGTATCATAGGTTTTAATATACTTATGTATGTAATCTTTTCACATGTCATATGTTGTTTTTTAAATGTTAGTCTTCCTTATTATACACTTAAATTTTGAGTGTCGTTTCCTCTAGTTTATTGGACAATGGTACGTCATTCAGAGATTTCAGTCATCCAGCCAATGCCTGACCCAGAACATAACCGTGGAAGACGGAGATTACTACCTGTCTGAGAATGGACAATTACTCAGTAGTGACTTGCTCGGGTAATATATTTAAAGTCATACACATTTTTTCAATTGCTACTTTTCCTGCTAGTTTGTCTTCGGCTTTTTTTAAACTGGATGGGGGAGGGGACAATGAGACACAGAATAGGGCTAAGTCTAAAATAAATCAAATTAGATTAATGGATAGCATTAGCTTGAGAGGCAGTGACATTTCAGGGGGGCCCATTTCTATAAACTCTGAGAAACGTGTTTCAAATTTGGAAGTAAGAAGTTTATTTTAAAAATAACATAAATGAAAAATAAGGAAGTAATGCGTATAAAAAACTAGATTAATGAACAGCGTTGGCTTGAGAGGAAATGAAATTTCAGGGGGCCCAGCCCCCTGGTCCTCCGCTAGAGCCGACCTTGTTTCTTTAATTTACTCTCTATAAACGTGTTTCAAGTTTGAGCAACGAACATAATTTTCATCGAAGCATGACGTTTATTTTGAAAATAACATAAATGTAAAATAAGGAAACTAATGCGTAAAGAAGTGAAACAAATACTCATTTCTCTTACAGTAATTATCGCTCAAACTAGTAATATAACTTATTGTTATTGATATATTAACAATCACGAGTGCAAAAAGATGGCATATCTGTTTTTGAAAAATCTGGCTCCGTAACAGTATTGAGAAAGTATATAACTTTTGAAACATATTTCACTTAAACACTGTTATAATTATATTAGTTTTTGAAGAGTTTTCACGCAATTGAAATAAGAATACCTGTACACCGAAGATCTTGAGACTTTCAAGGTTGGTTGATAATTTAAAAATTGCCTTTGTATGTCAAGTAGAGAAGGTTACTTTGTAGGCATAATTTCTATATATCTCCTTGTAGCTCTTTTACAGTATAAACTCGCAGTCTAGTCAAGTAATTATTTACAGTACTATTACAATAAACCTTCACATTTCCTTTCCTTTTGAGGAAAGCTTGTGTGTTGGTTATATAAAAAATAAAATAAAAAGGTTTTAGTAGAATGACTTCTGAAACCACGCTAGTCTTAAAAATGTTCAGTTAAAACTGGGAAGTACCAGGCAGAAAACTTATCATGAACTTCTGAGCGAACGGAATTACTTACATCGGTTAGAACTAAAAATCAACCTATTAATTAATAGATAGTGTAATATACCGGTCTAACTAAAAGGACGCAATGTCACAAAGCGAACACATAATGCTTTGAATCCTCACTATTATCGATATTTTTGGTTATAATACGTAGTGTGAACTTATAAATATCCATAATAAAAGCCAGGAGAGAAAAGACTAGTGCATAATAAGAGCCGGAAGTGGATCCTTATAGTCCAGAATAAAAAAAATTAATGATTTCAATTTGTTCTGTGTAACTGAGTGTTTGAGCTTTTGCACCTTTTTTTTTGTCATGTTTGGAAGAAGACGTCCTCACCATCATCGAAAAGCAGAAATATTTGTGCCACAGCAAAGAAATTTTCTAAAAATTTATTAAGAAGATTTCATTTAAATATATACATCTACACCACTTTTCACTTATTTGTTGATTTTTTTTAAATCCAGTTTTACAACTGATAACACCTCAAAGCTTCATGACTCTTAATTTCAGTTTCATCACTAATAATATCTCAAAACTTCGTGACTCTTAATAGAGAAAATGTCACCATAAGCTGATAGTGAAGGATAGTTCCAGTAAGCCTTGGAAGTAAGTGATTAACGCGTGAAAGAGATGCAGTAAGGAACATTCTCTCTTTTCAAGCTATTAATCTATTCGTACTTCTCTCACAACAGAAAACTCTTTTTATGAAAGAGAAAAAAAAATTTTGTTGATCAATTAAATTTTCTAAAAAAATCAGTCAACATTGCAGTATAAAAACCATCTTCAAAAATTATTTAACACTTAAAAAGTAAAAAGAAATGGTGGTAAGAGCTGAATTAAAAAAAGACGTCATTCAAACCTAAACCTTAGTAAAATTGGGGACTGTTTTTGATATGTTATTCATACCAGTCTCATTAGTTTATTTAAGACACCGCGTTCTAATTATATACGTTACGTACACATACTAGTAATTTAAAGGATGGTTTTATGGTAAAAATGATATGCGAGGCATTATTCAGGCTTAACCATGTTCAGACTGGTGACGATGTTTTGTATATTTGTTTACAATTTATATTCTGTAATTTGTAAGCATAAAACAGTTTGTAATATATTTTACGAATCCAATATACATATTCAAAACTTACCAGGTTTCTGATCCTCAAAAAAATACTACTATCTTTTGATATATAAATTAATACTAACGAATCTTTTTTTCTTCACCTTTCTCTGACTGATAGAATAAATCAAGTATCCACACACGAAGGGAAGCTCCTTGTACCTAAGAAAGACTCTCCATCAAAGATGGTGGTGGATTTTCCTCTGAGTAAGTTATTAATCTGAAAGAAAGTTATAATTGTGGCTTAAGTTTGAAATAGCAAAGAAATAACTACGATGGTATCCAGCTCATTCATATTAGATTGTTTTTTAACTATTGATAATCATGCTATTTGTAGTTATTTGAATTAGAGTTATGTTTTGAATAACTGTTATAAATAGCATTTGTAAAGTTAAAACGAAAAACAAGCCATAGAACCACCTTGTCCATCAAAGAATGTTTTTATCTTAAAATAACGAACTTCATAGAAACTTGATCAACCTCCGCCTTTATGTACTACTGATGTTTCATCTAAGCAACGTAACAGCTAAGATAAAGATTGAGAAAAATTTCATTTTCTGGTTAAAGAAACTACAAAAAGCGATTCTTATGAAATTATCACTTATAAATTCCGCAAATCGCGATTTTCTTTTCTTTCTAGATATTTCTTAATGACCAACCACCCAACTTTTTAAGCACCAATTTTTCACATTTGTTTATAGATCGAGGCTGTTAAAACTGTTTAAAACTGCATTCCAGTTTTTTTTTTCCCTTTGAATTAAATCTAGCATTTTGTTTTTGTTTAATTTTCTGGTATCTCAAAGTTGTGTAAAATATAACAATACCTCGGTGGCAAAATTGAGTTTATGATGCTAGAATTAGAGGTTTAGTTCGCGCGATGGACTAGCGCAGATAGCCCATTATGCAGTTTTGTCCTAAAACAAACATAAGATATCAAACCTATTAGCGCATATTTGACAACAAAACCTACCTGCGAGTTCAATCTATCTGTAAAGCTGAACAACCTTAATTAAACATCAGGTGACATCCCCTGTTCTTGAGAATATGTGTTGATGCAGGCCTCTTTTGTCCCCCGGTGGCTCGGCGGTAAGTCAGAGGACTTAAAACGCTAAAAAATCAGGTTTCGATATCCGCGATGATTAGAAAACAGATGCTTCATTGTGTAACTATGCGTTACAATAAATACCAGTGGGCTTCCTTACCTAGTGACAATTTGGATTGTACGGAAAATATACATTTATCTACGTATACATGATGATCTGAAGCTGTTTCACTCCTAAATACACTTGGTTCTTTGTTAACTGACACTGAGGTCTGTTGTAAATTAGTTACTTTTTATTTTGTAGTATGAACACTTTAATATTCCGTCGCGCTTGACATCGTCGAGCGTATGTTGCAAGTAACTGATGAAAAAGGAAACTTGACCCAACAGGATAACAGATATGTTCCAACAGCTTGCAAAGGCTAATACAGCCTAGCTTAGATTGCTTGACTCTATTAGCAGTAAGTTCTGCAGAGGCTTAATTGTCATCTTAGTGTCCAAATTCAAAAGGTGCTATTATTTTCACTTAAAAAGCTTGAGTACACTTTTCAATTGTGTAAAAAAGTGGTAAATACGTGGTGGTGAGTCAAAACAAACCGATTTAAAACTTATTACGCTCCTCTTTCATTAAAATAGAATTGTAATGTATACATACCAGCCTTTATAACGAAATCTTTTATGACAAATATTTCAGATCCGTTTGGTAAAGTAAATTACTGGGTTATGATGACAGATTATGATAATTATGCCGCAATTTGGTCTTGTCGGAGAATGCTGCTTGGACACCTCCAAAATGCAGAAATTCTGAGTCGTAGCCCAACACTGGACAAGCTCATTATAAACAAGATCCGTGGCCGTTTTGAGAACTATGGGATCGACGAACATAACTTCAGCGTCATAGACCAGAAAGACTGTCGAGACAAGAAGAAGAGAAACGGGGTTGGAATATCTTTGTTCCTGGATAATATCTTCGGAAGACTCAGGATCTGAAAAAAAAAGACAGAATGGTTTGACTGTTAAGTTATTTTCAACCTTCAACGCTTTGGCTTTACAGTTACTGATGTTTGGAGTAGAACGTGGGTTATACAAACCAAGAAAAGTTCTGTGTCTTAACGTGAGTGATTGTTTGACATCCAGCTTTGAAAGCTTTTCATGAAACTTGTGTAAAACTGGATAACTGTGTAAGTTGAAGATGTATAACCAAGAGAACGATAATTTTTTGTTTGGCTGCTTTATGAGCTAGGTCATTTATCTTATAAAATACTTAAACATATAGCCTATCATTCAAGTATTGGAGTGTGGCAAAGCACTTACAAATAGCTTTGAATCTTTGGTCAAGCTCACATTAGTTTCAAGCTATCGGTTTAATGTAATAATAATAACAAAAACATTCTTGAGTAAAAGCATCAGAAGGAAGACTTTAAGCATTAAAGTATCAGTTTCGTACAGCGAACTCAGTACTAAGTATTGAAATATTTGACATTGCCCATGGTTATCAACACCATTCCATGTTCATGACATATATTTTATGAAATGGTAATTTTTGATAAAACATAGTAAAATATAAAAAATACAATTTTCTATTATCAACCGTGTCAATATAAATTTCCAAAGAAATAAATAAAACAATTATAAAATTGGAACTATTGCTTCTTTTAACTTTGCATTGTGATATTACATTCCACTTTCTAGCCCAATTAGGCTTCACTGATTTAGTATTATACATAATTTTATCATTTATTAGTTTAAAAAAAAGAGAAGAGATTTTAAACAATTTTTTTTTGTAATTTTGTTTTGCTTGATATGTATGCTTTGTTGTCAGCTGTGGTTTCCAATTAACGACTATGTGTTATTTAAGATAATAAAATGTTTCTGTGCGAGTTAAACTTGTACTTAGGTAAAAATAACAGGTGTGTGTGTGTGTTTATATATATATTATCATTAATTTCTGATAGATCAGAAATGAAAATTAACCCAGTAATGAATATGGTAACTTTAACATGTCGTTCATTTGATTTTTTTTAATATTTTGCAGTTAAAATGTTAAAAGAAATCAAACAAAAAAGTTTGCATGTGTCAGATTCAAACAACTAGCCAACACTGTTTATAAAAATAAAAGAAAACTATAATGTGGAACATGAAAATCTCAATAAGCCTTATGATTATTCAGAAACACATAAACACAGTGCATATGCTATAATTTTCCTCCTTATATCAATAGAATTTCAATTCAGAAAACATTATATGCCCGTTTCTTCCACACAATAAAAGAATGAAAATGACGATTTAAGTTATAAAATGAAATTAACAATACATTTCCAGTATTTCCGTTAAAAGCATTAAAGATAACGCTTGATTATATAAATGAACTTATGGTCTGATAGATGAAAAAGAACAATAAAATATACCATATTAACTTTTAACAACTCTTCGGAATGTTGAAATCACCTGCTACTTACTGTCAATGCATTTTCTTTTGGTTCTCTGGGGACAAATGTTTAAAACCATTATTTATTAATGAAACACTTTAACCAATTATTAATTAAAGTCACTAGACTTAGACAAAATTTAACTAAAAACTAAATTGAAACAGGTACAAAGTATTACAAGCACAGTGATTTGAAGATTTAAAAAACGTTTTGATAAAAAACAATCATTAAATTCACTGATGTTGGAAGATCGTAATATTAAAGATAATTCTTATCTATATACTAAATTGTGCACTGGATAAAAAAATATTTAGCTTAGATTTAACCGAATTTAAATCTCTGTAAATCAGTAAGTTTCTAAATCATCTCGTATATTTTCAGAATAGTAATGTTAATTATTATTTTATTGTTTTAATTTACATGATAAGCCCATAAAATAATTTTTCAAAAGCCTTTTTTATCTCAAAATTAACAAAGTTCAGAATTTTGATGCTATTACTCAGTTTATTAAGGTTATTTTTTGTTTTAACTTTTCTGTACTAAATTTCACCCGTAGTGATTCAGAAAACGAAGACATTTTGAATGTATGTTCAAAATAGAATATTTTCTCTATTTTGTACATATTCTAATATATGCATGTTGGAAATAAATTCCCCAAAACCAGCATCCAACCCATTACGATACGTTCGGCCCTTTACCAGAGAACTAGAAAAAACATGCAAGATAAATTGAAAGTTAAATATAATGCGAACAACGCTAGAAACCGGGTTTCGATACCCATGATGGGCAGAGCACAGATAGCCCATTGTGTAGCTTTATGCTTAATTACAATCAAACAATAATATTTTACAAAACTTTTAGAGAAGTTAAAGCTGATACAAGAGTTTTTTAAGAGTCCTCATTTAAAACTGCTGTTTAAAGGTGAGTAATCTGTCAGCAGTATATCAAAGAACCAAATACTGGACATTTCGATGCAGCCAAGAGGAACAATGATCGTTAATTTGTTATCTCAATTACAATAGATTTTATACCTTTGAACTATATTAATACGTGATGTCAAATCGAAATGAAATTACTTGTGTGCTGGGCCAATTGTGGCTTGGTTTATTGGGTTCCATATCGGAAGGCCCAAGGTACAACTCCGCAGGATGTCGCTGTACACATTCTACATTTCAACTTTAGAGTCACTACAACTGTTACAGTCAGTTCCATTATTTAGTAACGAGTAGCCATGTAGGCGGCGGGTGCTATTACCTGTTTGCTGAACAATCAAAAGTTGGAGTCTTTGAACTGGTCGTTTGGCCAATGTGCCACATACGATGCCGGTCGGATTGAAAATACAAAAGATTCGCTGGGTATAGTAACCATCTCTTACAGAATTTATCCAAGAGTATCAAAATCTAATTAACCAAACAGCTGACATCAACCACATTATTATCACAAATAGCCAAGAAACACTTTACACCAATAATCCCACACGTAATCAGAACAATTACAATTTCCTTATCTATATAAAAATGTATAAATGATCCAATATCAGAACTTACAGCATTAACTCGATTTAAGTATTGATTGTGTATTTATAGGGTTTTTATTTCAAATTCGTACTTAATATGAGAACCTGGTGAAAAGTGTTGAAATTACCAATGAAGCGAAGTGGTAACTATAGCACTAAATGCTATGTACTACATTCATGGACGTTGGCCCTGATAAGGGAAGTATAAACAGTGTTAAAATCATGCATTTTCTAACCCTGTTTACGTGAATTTTTAAATAGCATTTGATAGTAACTTAAAAAACAATAAAGGAGGGAGGAAGAAGTCTATATAGCACCTGACCCTCCCAGGTTGCAACCCTAAACACCGATCCAGAACAGATATAGTAACCAGTACCCTTATAACTTTTTTTTCTTATGCTAATAAAGCTAATCCATAATACAATCTGATAACTGATTTTTTCTTTTCCTCGTGCTGTCTTATAGTATTTATAAGTCTAAACTCCTCGCTGTTGTATTGATTAGACTTGAGCTTGTCTTAGCAGTCTGTAAAACACAGGCAGTGGTTAAATACACACACTTGACAGCAATGTTCATATTCACATTTTTGTATGTATAAAAACAGGTAAACATTCATACCCTACAAAAAAGGTATAGGGGATGGTAGAAGCCAGTGTGTACGTCTCGAAGAAAGGGCTCATCAGGAGTGTATTACTATACCAACTATACTAAATGAGACAGAAAACATTATATAACCTGTGTATCCAAATAAGACATCAGCGGAAGTGCACAGATAAAAACCAATTCAATAACAATAGAAAACACAAGATCATTTGACTTTTTCCACCACCACACATCTCTAGCATTTTTCTTTCCACCGTCATTTGTTATCTCATCAATATTAGTCATGTTCAATTTCCCAGTTACTAAATACACCAAATCATAAGATCAATTTAAACATCCCCTTTCCTTCTCTTACATCTACAATAATGACTGAAATAATAATGGATTCCACCTTTCCATAAGAAGTTTAGAGTACATCTTTTGCCACAGGTAGAAATTACATATGCTAACAGTTAGAAACTAATACAACTTTGACTTCTGTATGATCCCCCCTCCCCCCGCGTAGGGAGAAAGAAATGAACGTATTTCAGGTTGGTAGAGATGTGTACAAAAAATGGTTGTTCTAAGGAATTATGGATGACAGAAAAGAAGAATATGTATATGTAATGATATGACAACCACAATACCCACATGATCTATCGCCCAACATCAGGTCTACTGAGATTCGACAGACATAATAGTGGTCGAGCCACTATTAGATCAGATTTTTCAAGTCTTTGTTCTGTGTACAGGGTTTGAAATAGTACCAGGTTGCCGGTACTCGAGCATCTCTAATTACGTGATTTGAGCAGTTAGAAATTCAACTATTCTTCCTTGTGTGTTCTCCTGGGAAATTTTTTCCACATCAAGCCAAATTGTCAATAATCTGTAAGCCCATGTGGTATGACCACTATGGCAATGATTCAGTTAAAATCTAGGCTTTATATTGGTTATAAATCTAATTGGAGTCGCCTAAAAAAATCTATTAGCAAATTGTAAATTAGAGTATGTCAGAGGTAGGCGTGGAAAGTGGTTTTTAAATTTTCATCGATTGCTCTTTAACCTCATGATACTGAAGAATATAAAAATATAGCTTTAGAATATCGATGACCAAATTATAGCGAATATTTTACTTTAAATTTCGTAGTTTTCTAGAGGGTGGACAAAAAAAATCCAGAAGACGAGAAGACTCAAGAACAAATATCCAAATTTTCACACTTGGGAAATTTGGGGTTATTTTTAAATATTTCCTTATATAATTAAGAACTTAAAACTTATATAACACTAAAATTTGATTTATTATCTATGGTTTGATGTCAAGTTTGGAAAGCGTTTTTTAAATTTTCATTGATTGGTCTTTAACCCCATGATATTGAAGAATATAAAAATATAGCTTTAGAATATCCATGACCACATTATATAGAATAATTACTTTACATTCCTTACATAATTAACTTAGAACT